AAATCGCCAGCGAGGAAATGAAATCTTGCGCGGGAGATTGAAATCGCACGTGGGAAAATGACGGACGTTGGCGACTGATGTGGGCGACAACCGACGCTGGAGACAGATGGAAACTGATGACGATGCAAGTTGGCGACGCGAGAAGCTGGCGACGACACAGACACTAGCAACGGACGCTGACACTAGCGACGGAGGCTGGCACGACGAATAGATTGAGCTTGAAATGCTGCTCGGGTAGCTTTCATGTCGAGCTCGAGCTCGACTTTTGACCTTAACTCGAGCTTGACATTTTTTTTTTGTCAGTAATGGATGAAGTCAGTTTTTGTAGAAGTCATTCTCCTTTGCGCTACTTAATGTATTTTTCTCGTACTTTACACTTTAGGAAGTATGTAGTAATAATTTTGTACACATAATCAGGTCTGTCATGTAACTTTTAAATATCAATATATGTTTTTTTTTTTTTAAGTTAATCCACTAACGAAAGCCAGATTTAGTAGAAGTAGCTGATTAATTAATCATTGCTGATGATGATACACTGGCCATCTGATCTTCATCCTTTGCGCCAGCTGCTATTTCCTAGAAACCCCCCTCCACTTCTCCGAAAAAAAAAAAATAAAACAAAATATAGAGATAGAGAGAGACAGAGCTCTGCGTGGAAGACATGGCAGAAGCTAGTGAGCACTCAATACTCAATGGGGAAGTGGTGGAGCAGGCGGCCACCAAGGAGGAGCAGGTGGTCACCGTGACCAGCATGATGGAGCACAATGTGACGACGGAGGATGAGCAGCTGGAAAAGTTGTCACATTGTGCATGATCATCGTGTCACCTGCTCCACCACGGTGTCCGGCTACTCCATAACAGTGTCTGCTTGCTCCACCACTTCCTCGATGAGTATTGAGTGCTCACTAGCTTCTTCCATGTCTTCCACGCAGAGCTCTATGTCTCTCTCTATCTCTATATTTTGTTTTGTATTTTATTTTTTAGAGAGGTGGAGGGGGTTTTATAGGGTTTAAAAGCTTGCGCAATGGATGAAGATCGGACGGCCAGTGTATCATCATCAGCAATGATTAATTAACCAACTACTTCTACTAAGGGGTTGTTTGGTATGCAAAATTAGGAGGGTAAAGTAATTAACTTACGTGCATTTCGTAAATTATGTCGTTTGGTTGGTTTTGAGTGGAACTTAAGTAATTCCTCCGAAGTATCAGTGGTGTATTGCGACGAGCCGTTCACGTGACTTCAAAACCCGCTCAAATTGAGCGGGTTACAAAACCTCTCGTTGGTTCGCGTGGGGCAATGCTTCCAATGAGTCGAGTGCCATTTGCTTTTGCTTTTGCTGGCTTCTCATTCATTGTCGTTACAACCACAACGGATGCCTCATAAGAACCCTAGCCTTATCAGCTTCACGGCTTTAGGGATCTCAAACCAACTTCCGACAATTCAAAGTGCGACTGCATGTATGCCTTTACTAATTGTTTGATTATCGTATTGGATATCTGTTCTCGTGTCTCTGCTATTTTTGTTCTTATTTAATGCAAGAGAAATTTATCTTTCCCGTGGATTATGCATGTTCTGCATCTGTTCATGCGGCGCCGATGTGTATATTTTGGTGTCTTTTGTTCTGTGCTACTGGAAACTGAGTTTGAGGCGTTTATTCTCCTTTCCTGCTTTGTTGGTCGTTTTCTGCAGAATTGCTTCTGAATTCCTACTTATTTGTTATCCTCTTTAGTTCTTCTGTTTTTTTTTAGTATCTCGTACCTAATTTCTCAAAAAGGAATTAAACAAAAGAACTACATCATCTACAGGCAGTGGGTCATCTCCATAATTCTCACCCCAAACGACAACATGGCAGGGATTACAGTATAGGTATATGAGATACTAAAAAAATCGAAGAACTAAAGAGGATTACAAATAAGTAGGAATTCAGAAGCAATTCTGCAGAAAACGACCAACAAAGTCCGAAGGGAGAATAATGATGCTGTGATGAGAACGAAAGAGTAGCAGCAAAAGCAAAATCATTTTTACTTTACTCTAGATCTACCTAATCAAGCAAGCGAAACAATTCTCCTGCGTTTAATTTGCACACAATCAAACAATCTCAAAGTATTCGGAATACACAGCCCATAAATCTATTTGTTTTATTGCCGGAAATATTGGGGGAATTAAATTTGTATTTGCCATATCGCCGCCTATTTATGTGTTATGGCTATATAAACAAATATTAGTGGGCCCTATAAGATTAATATCGGCTATATATATACACAAAATTAATTCAATTTATAATTAATTTAAGGAAAAAAACGGCGCATAATTATTCATAATATCCTGACAATGGGCCATTTATAATCAATTTAATTTATAGTTTAGTTCACGTAAATTAATTAAAAAGTAAAAAAGGTAAATTTATTAATTCATAATCTCCTGAAAATGGCTTATTTCAATTAATAGTTTAATTTGTTCATAATTAAATCAATTTATAATTAATTTAATTTTCTGAAATTAATTTAAAAAGGAAAAAAAAAACAGTACATAATTATTCATAATATCCTGACGATGGGTCATTTATAATTAATTTAGAAGAGTGACCCAAGCTAAGAAGCTCACCAGAATGCTATTATCATTGCAACCGTTTGTTTCTTAGCTAGGGCTGCAAACAAATCGAGTGGAGTCGAGTATGTGAGTATTCATATTTATGTTCATTTATTATCAGCTTGTTCAAATTTGGTTCGTGTTTTATTCGAGCTTTATTATTTGTGTTCATGTTTGGTTCGTTTAAATTAATGAGTTTTCATGTTTGGTTCATGTTCAGTTCGTTTAGTGCTTATCGAGCTTTAAACAAACAAGTCTTAACAAACTATAAACGAGCTCTACTTCTAGATATTCATTAACTTAACAAATGAGCATTATCGAGCCTCATAACAAATAATTACATCAATCATGTTCGTGAACATATTTAGTTAATTTTTTTAAAAATATCAAACAAGTACGTTTATGAACATATCTAACGCGTATTCTTGAGCTATCAAATGAGTAAGTTCATGAACAAAGCGAAACATTTCACATTTGTCCATATTTGCTTGATTGATTGTTTAAAATATTCATGAAGAAATACAAGATGAATCATAGATCACTTCTTCGTGAACGAGCTCATTTGATAGTGTGCAAATTAAACGCCGGAGGGAATTTCCATAATTTTAGAAAATTTAAATGAGAGAAATAAATATTTAATTCATTTTAAGCAATTTGAAATTATAGAAAATACATTACATTTTCCAAAATATGGTTTTACGTTTTTAAATATAAAAAAATTAATTCTTCATATATAATTGTATAGGAGTTTTATTCCATTTATTTTTGGTGAAATAATTTTTTTTAATTCCATTGAAAGAGCTTTTAAAACTTAGAAAATATCTTGTATTTCCTTTAAAATAATTTTATAATTTTCTTTTATTGCCAAGAAAATGGTTTTTTATTTTGAGAATTAAAAAAAGGGATGCATTTTGTATTTATTTTTTATTTTTTGAAAGCCCTAAAAAATTTAACTTGTAGAAAAAAAAAATCTAGTCAGCCATTTGTACAAGTGGCTGAATCTGATTGGTCCAGTTGGCATGCATTTTAAAACAACATGTGTATTCTTAACCGTCCGATCTTTCGTTCAATGATCCAGATTTAACCAAAACCAGAACGCTATGCCTTTTTATTTAGAAGCGCAGGATAGAGAGAAAGAGAGCTTTAGGGAGATTACATAATAAAAATTAAATAAAAAAGGTAAAGCTTACTTAAGGAAGCTAAGACTCTGTTTGGATCATTTTTTTAGGGGTGTCAATTCGAGTCAACGGAACGGGTCGACACTAACCCAACCTGGTTTTGCAAACGGATCAGGATTGTCAACCCGGACTCGACCCGTGCTGGTTACCGGGTTGACCCGACCAACCCGCATGGGAGGGATTGTGACATTCCGCGGCAGCAGCATCTTGCGGGCATGATGGCAGCGACAACGACATCTCGCTTCCATCACTGGTCTTCTTCGGTCCGAGAACTAGCAAGCGTCCAGGCGACAACATAAGGCCAACGACAACAACAATAACAGCGACAGCTCGAGCAAGACTGTGATGAGCATGACACGACCTGAGTGACGAGACGCAACTGCGACGCGACCCACGACCCGCGACTGATTGATAGATGATGTGACCCTGAGCGTTACTTCCAGGTCAATTCAAGTCGACCCGTGGGTTAGCGGGTCAATCCGAACCCAACCCATTTTTTTAAACGGGTCAGAAATCCGATCTCGGACCCGATCCGTTTCACAAATGGGTTGACCCAAACTCGAATTTTCCCGAGTTGGATTTCATGTTGTGTCAATTTTTGACTCCCCTAATTTTTTTTATTGTTTCTATAACAGGTTTTTAATATAAAAATTTCTTACAAACTACGGAAAAAAAAAATAATGGCAAAAAACTTTTCCAACCAAAACTTAATAATAAATGTCTTTAAATCTTTTTTTGATACAATTTTCAAGTAAATTTTATGACTTTCAATCTTTATTTTTGAAAGTTAAAAAAGAACACTTCTTCAAAAGTTCGAAGAAAATTCTCTACGAGAGAAAAAATTATTTTGTACGGACACCAAATGTTGTTTGGAAGTGAATCGGAGTGCGTCACATCACCCATTTGCTATGTACCGCGACTGTATACCCACCGTGTATTAGATGATGTAGCGTATTTGATTTGCCTCCGAACGGTTCGGTATCCGCACAGAATACTTTCTCTTACAACAGTGTTATTAATCGTAGGATTCGAAACAAGTTAAAGTATGACCCAGTTTGCTATTTATTTGTATCTGGCTCGTTTAAAAATTTGACCGTTCGAGTTCCACACGTATTCAAAATTGCCGTAAAATGTAATTATTTGATTCGTTCGGTAGTGTGCTCTCATGTTTAGCACAAATTCAGCTCTGATTATATCAATAATAAATATTTATGCATTCTAAAAAAAAAATCAAACTCAACTGCAAATTACCATTAATATCTACCAGGCTTCATAAACTCTCCAAAAAAAAAAAAAAAACTTTCTGCAGATGCCAAGAAAAGCTTTCTCAACATGAACTTTTATTACATCCAGTGAACGTACGCTCCTCTACGTTCGGTTTTAGACCAAAACAACACAATACCGAGTTTTTTTAAAAAACTCGGTACAACTCGGTACTCGGTACTCGGTATTGCGCTTTTTTTGCCTAGATCCGAACGTAGAGGAGCGTACGTTCACCGGATAAAATAAAAGTTCTTCTCAACATAGCATATGAAGCAATGAAACCAACATATTACATGATAAAAAGCCTGTACACAATCCCAATAAAAGTAGTACTGAAGCTTAGTTGAAAGAACGTACCACAGAGGAAGTAGTGATGAGGCCAGAAAGCAAGCCAACAAGAACAGCACTGTTGTAGGTAGTTGGCTCAGATTGCATGGAGTTGTTTCTGTTATCAATGTAGGAGTCATTTTTGAAAGGACCACCAACGAGGGCTCCAACGGCAACATTTGGATTAGGGTTGGGAGATTTTAGCCATTCGAAACCCTTACAACCAGTGTTTGCAGAAGCTGGGATTGAAGCTCCTCTATGGTGTACTTGTTGAGGGTATTTGTCACCATAACCAACAAGATAGCTAATTCCCATGGGATTATTGCCCAATATATAATCAGCCTGTAAGAAGTTGTAACAAGAAAGTTTAAGGTTTGAGGAAATAGTTTAGAAATCGTAAGAGATTATGGCTTTGATTGGGATGGATTTGTTACTGCGGCAGAAAGCAGCTTTAAGAAGCTGTAAAAAAGCTGTACCAAACATAGCCTATATCTTTACTAGATTGATTTTGATGCAACAACAACAAAAACAATAATAATAACATCAAGCCTTTCTCCCACTATGTGGGGTCGACTACATGAATCATTTTTCTCCATTTAATCATGTTAAGAGTCAAATACTCATTTAAATCTAATCAAGATAGATCAGGTTTAATATTTTCTAACCATGTCTTTTTAGGTCTATCTCTACCTTTCTTAACATAAGTCAAATTTAATACATCTAGTTTCCTAACCGGGTCATCGGAAGGCTGCCGTTTTATGTGATCAAACCATCTAAGGCGACTCTATTTAATCTTATCTTCCACTGGAGCTACTGCAACCTTTTGAGTGACCAAACCATCTAAGGCCGGCATTTTACTTGATTGATTTTGATACAACAACAACAATAACAGCATCAAGCCTTCATCCCACTATGTGGGGTCGGTTACATGAATCATTTTTCTCCATTGTGTCCTATTAAAAGTCAAATTCTCGTTTAAATCTAATAAAGAAAGGTCATTCATAAAATTTTCTAACCAAGCCTTTTTAGATCTGCCTTTATAGTTTCTTAAATAAATCAAATCTAATACCTCTACTCTCCTAGCTGGGTTATTGGAAGGCCGCCGTTTTATGTGACCAAACCATCTAAGGCGACTCTATCTAATCTTATCTTCTACTGGAGCTACTCCAACCTTTGCAAGTATATGCTCATTTCGTATCCTATCTCTAAGGGTAAAGCCACTCATCCACCTGAGCATCCTCATCTCTGTCACACTTAACTTAGTATTATTCTCTCTTTTAATGGCCAACATTCAACACCATAAAGCATTGCAGGCCTCACTACCATCTAATAGAATTTTCCCTTAAGTTTGAGGGGTACTTTTCTATCACACAACAAGTCCGATGCATTCCTCCACTTCAACCATCCAACTTGAATTCTGCTGATAATATCTTCATCTATTTCACCATCTCTCTGAACAATAGATCCAAGATATCTAAAACGTGTACTCTTATTAATGACTTGATCGCCCAAAGTCACAATCCCCTCACTAGGTCTATTACTACTAAAATTACACTCCATATATTCCATTTTAGATCTACTCAAACGAAAACCTTTTGTCTCTAATGTTGACCTCCATAATTCAAGTTTACTTTCAACTCCCTCTCTAGTCTTATCAACAAGAAGAATGTTATCAGCAAAAAGCATACACCAAGGTACATTCTCTTGCAAATGTCTAGTGAGAACATCCATGACTAAAGCAAAAAGATATGGGCTTAAGGCTGATCCTTGGTTATGTAACCCAACAAAAATAGGGAAATACTTGGTCAAACCACCTTGTGTTTGAACACAAGTAATAGCTCCTGCATATATATCTTTAATGATTTGAATATAAGCATTATTAACTCTCTTTAATTAAGAGGTTTGATGGAGTAAAAAATGTCTTAACATACTCATGAGAGGTGAACATTAAGAAAAATAGAATAAAAAATGCCTCAAATATGAGGATATATTAAGATAATAAATACTATTAATTCATATAATAAATATTTTTAAATATAGTTCATCGAACAAATACTACCTGTGACATGGCGAATTTGCGGAGATCTGACGACGAAAATGTCACTCCATTGCAAGAAAAGGATGGTGTCCTTGAGGTTAGCATGTAATCGCTATAAAGCACAGCTAGGAATGAAGCGGCGACTGGGTGCTGAAGTGCATTCCATTGATCAATCCACAAGAGCCCACCTGAAGATGGATAAGAACACAGACTATATGAAAAAAAGCAAAATGCTCCGAACAATTTGTAGCATAATGGGAGTCAATGTAGAATTTAAATAACATAGAATAGTATTTTAACAAAAATAGCAATTATTGCACTTATTTACATACTCTCATTACTTGTAATTTTTAGTTCCCCCATTACTTCTTGTTATATTTGTTTGGAGATAGATTGTTTGACGTCCAAACGTCTAATGAGATGAGGATTGGGAGGCCTCTGTGCATAAGGATTTATAAGATATTCTCTTTTGTTAAGAAAACTCAAAACCTTAGATTAAGGAAATTATGAGCATACCTAAATTGTTTCTTAGAAGGAATGATGAACTTATAATATGTTGTTCCGTGTATAATTAATTATTATCCATCAATTCTTTAAATTAATTTTTTTAATAAAGCAATTATTACAATCAAATATGAAATGAATACACATAACATAGTTATAATTAATTGCTAGATTAAAATGTAAAAAATAAAAACACAAGTTAAGTTTATATGATGAAAAATATGAAATTATCCATTTAAAAGGTAAAGATATCCATGAAGAAAGCTCTCATTTATGACCATTAGCTATGATGCGCCAACACTTCTCTTCAAAGAGGTATGCAGTATCTCAAATTTTTATTTAGTGGAAAAATAAAAGCTAAATTTCTTAATTCCTCTCCAAAGCTTAAAATCAATTGCCCGCACTCAATACCCCATTCCCTGAACATTCTCATTTTCATTTCTCTATAGTAGGTTGTGGCTAGGGTTTCACAACAACGCTTGAAGACATCTAAAAATCGACATCCAATGTCGTCATAATACTAGTATTTTAAAATCATCTCAACATCAAAATCTAACATTATGTTGACATTGACGCTCAACGCCAACAATTTTTATACCCACCATTATACCCTCATGCCATCTCAACATCTCATCTTTATACAATGTCGTCTTAACATCGACAACTGACATTATCTTGAGATCGACGATCGACACCATCTTGACATCAATGCTCGAAGTCCATTACAGAACAACGATGCCCGACTATCGAGAGCATTGTTGTCCCCCCTCTTGATGCTTAACACAACATCGATGTCCTACTCTCGACATCCTAATATTAATCATTTTAAGCATAAATCCTTGTTAAATTACTAATTATTTTTCATTTTTTTTCTTACTTAATATTTTATTTATTCAATTTTTAAACATTATTTTTAATATATAAAAATTATACTACCATGTCCAACTTGTGTTAGTGTCCTATATTTTCAATAATAACGTGTCATGTGTCCGTGTCAAATCATGTCTGCGTATGTGCATCATAAGAGCACTAGTTTGTAGGCCAGTAATATTGGAGAATTATGATAATTTTTTTCTTCTTTCTACCCATCCTGGAAAATAGGATGTGAAATCTCCTATTGATGGGGACATCAGAGCATGAATCGTATATCAGAGGCGTGGTCGTCGATCTACGACCACGATCGCGTCGATGTATTTTGAATTATTTAATGTATTTGTTTTATTATGTTATTTGTCTTTTATTATTATTATTTATGTTGTTTTCCCATTTTTACCCCTTACTTAAAGGAGGTCGTATGTAAACCCTACGGGCATTATCGTCTTTCTTATTTTGAGTCCTTTTTATATGAGGCTATTTATAGCCCTCATGTTGCTCTTCAAAAGTTAATGAATGATTATTTGAGAATTGTGTTTTTTGCTTGGAGTTCTTGAGAGAGCTTGTGAGGTCGGAGAGAGATCCCATGGAGAGGGAGTTTGGTGCATCACCCACCAACCGGGTTCATGGTTTCCTATCATTATTTTCCCCTAACTCCATCTCCCACTTCTCCTTCAAGATCTTACTTCTTCCTCGCCGTTTTCTTCCACCCATCGAAACCACCCCATACATCCCTACCATGCCGCCGGCCCCCTCACCCACCCCCCATCAACCCGCCGGCATAACCCCTTCCCATCCCCATTGCCTACTTTGGATTCTTCCTAATTTTGAATTGCCATAATTTAGTTGATCTTTGAATTCAAATTTTCCTAAATTTAAAATTCAAATTCTTTCCAAAATTATAAAATCTATTTTAAGAAAGTTTTCAAATTTTCCCTCCATTAGATTTCAAATAAATTAGGATGGCTTAATTTATTCTAAATCTAATCCCCTTTGATTAAGGAGGCATTAAAGCCCCCTTAATTTTCTCCCTTCCATCATGCCGCTGGCCCTATCCCGCCCCCTCCTCTCTTCCATCCTTGTTCACATTGATTCCATTTCCTAATTTGGGATGTGGCAATTTTTGGTAACTCAAGACTTTTCCAAATTTCAAATTTATTTGAATTTGAAAAGTTGCCTAAAATACCTTTCTTATTTTTGGAAACTTTCCAAACCCTTGTCTTTTGAATTTAAATTAATTTAAGATGAAATATCTCATCCTAAATTTGAGTCCTTAATTTAAGGAGGCATTAAAAGCTCCCTTAATCATCCTCCCAAGCCTTGGATGCCGCCAACCCCTATAGGGGAAATTTAGGAATTGTTTCCTAAAACCAAGTCCTCACTTTGGAAACAATTCAAAATCTCCCCTCCTCCCTTTGGCCGAATTCTCCCCTAGCCCCACCTAATTAATTGACTTCCAATAAAAGAACTCCTCCACTTGGAAGTGAATCCACCCCACCCAATCCTCTCTTGCCATCCCCTCCACAAAATCTGAACCTAATTTTTCCTAGCCTCCCTCTCTTGGCCGGCCACTTTCTCTTGCCTTCTCCTACTTGAATTGTTGAAGGAAGCCCCTCTTTCTTGAAGGTTTCTTCAATGCGAGCAAATGATCAATATATTCAACACTTCGACGTTTGGAAGAGATCTCTCCTCCTCCAATTGAGCCTCCACGAGATACTACGTCAAACTTCGTCAACACATCGCCTACTTGTCTCCGGATTTTGATAAGGGTAAACTTCTTCCCCTTTTGATTTACTTCTCTAATCCCCGTAATCTTGTAGGTGATGGAGATTCACAAGGAGCCGAGCTTCACCTTTGCCTAAACTTAGTAAACGTAGAATTTTGCTTCGTCGTTGCCAAAGCTTAGTAAACGTAGGATTGAGTGCACTTTATTGCTTCTAACTTTATTGTTAGATTAGAGATTTCTGTTGAAGGCTATTTTATTTACATGACTTGATTTTCTATGTTGTTTTGATAAGCCGAGTGCTTAGTATGCAACTTAGCCTAAACATAAGTGACCACTTATGTTTTACTTGATCGTTTAATTTGCTAATAGTTCTAATCTTAGTTGTTCTTACCAAGAAATCATGCAAATTCTTTTACATTCATTTCTAAGCACTTAGTTCTACATCACCTATCCACTAAGGCATCAATACTTAATAAACTACCATTTGAATCATAGTTGAGATCAAAATTTTCCCAATTTATCATCAAATTTGATAATTTTGATTGAAATGACTTAACGACAAAGACAACAACAATAACAAGCCTTTACCCCCACTATGTGGGATCAACTACATGAATCATTTTTTTCATCGTGCCTTATTCAAATGACTTGAATAAAAAAAATTAGTAGTGATTCATAAAATTAGGATTGATTCCATGTCAATGAGTCCTATAATTTTGTCAATTTATATTAACTTCTTGAATTTATTTAAATATCAAATACAATAATTATTTTAGTAAGAAAAATGTCATGCTTTAATCTTTGAGGGATTAGGCTATTGATCAAAATATGAAATAACAAATCCTAACAATATAACTTCCATTTAAAAACCACTTTTTTAATTAATATAAAATTTTTCTTCACTCGTCTTTGTCAAAACTAACCTAAGATGCCCCATGATTCTCCTCATTAATACTAAATATCAAAATGCTATTAAAAAATACAACAAAATTTTTTCCAAGAATTAGCCTACAAATAATAATCATCAACCACATAAATGTGCTTGAACCATCAAAAATACCGAAGGGCATCGCTAGCCATTCACAAGTTAATTTATGGTTTGAATGTAATATTCCACTCATATTACTTAGCAAACCTATTCTTATGTAAATTTTCTACCCATTTTTTTAGGTTTGAGAGCTACAAACCACACACTAGATCTATAGACCACAACAAGAAAACAGTCTTTGCAAGCATAGATGTAACCTCCATCACATGGAGCAAGTGGCGAAAACCAAAAAAAAAAAAAAATCTATTGTCTCATAAATAATATCCACTATCCTTAAATAAAAATAAAATGTCTATAAACCGGCTAAGCTGGTGGGCCCCATTAGGGTGGATGGTGGGCAAGAAGATCAAAGAGGAGTAATTACTTACCATAGAAGATTAAGATTAGGAGGGAATTAGGAATATTTATTTAGATAAAGAGGGCTTATTTAATTGAGAGGAAATTAGGAATGTTTGTTTAAGGAAAGAGGGTTGATTTGATTGGAATGGAATTAGGAAGGTTTCAAATATGATTATTGTGTGCTAGGAGGGAATTAGAGAGTTTTAATTAGAAAGATTTCCTGAATCATGTTTATGTTATTTAGGAAGATCCTAATTGTTTAGGAAGGTTTCCTAAAGTATGTTTATGCTGATTATGAATATTTTATTTGTGTTATGGTGTTATAGGGCTATTTAAGGGGGAGTTTGTCTAGGGTTTAATTGATACTATTGTTGAGTTTTATGTTACTAGTGTTTGTTGTGAGTTCCTAGCGGAGTCTAGGGTTTGTGGGAAAACTAATCTACCTCTCGAATAGTAGATCACTTGTATCTTGCATTTATTTTTGAAAGAGACAGAGAAAGTCAATCATATCTTCATGTTCCTAAGCTTTTCTTCTATTTTACTTGATGTTTTCGCATCCACTTCCTATCAGTACAGAAGTAGGACATCACATCAAATAAGTTTTTTATAACTTCCTATTGTGATGGGCACAAATACTAGAAGTTGTATGCAATGAAGTATGGTTTACACAACTCATATAAAAGGGCTCCATATGAGGCTTAGCTTTTAGATTAACCTTTATAAGAGTACGGTTGAGATGGTGTTCATGGCAGTTTCCCCATCAATCACTAGATTGCATCACTTACCATTATATATGGCTAACATACTAAAGATGTTCTTTCTCTAACCCTCATGACTTTCATAGTTGCGATAAATATCCCATCACTTATTTGATTCTCACCATCATTTTAAAATTCATCAAATAATGGCATGTCAATATATACCCTTCAACTCACAAGAATTTCTTCGTCTTCTATAAATAAAATGTATCATATATTGATTTTGTATAGACCCTTATAGCATTTGAAAGAAATAATTTTGCTAATATTCTCCTAAGTCCTAACTATAAATTTTGTTCCTTAGGTTTTGGGCACCAAAAGAGAAAAAGCTAGGCCTTGCAGTAGATTGTTGGGTGTGAAAGAATTTGATTGTCCTCTGATCTAGGGGTATAAATATTGGACCCGACTCAAAAAATTATGAATTCGGGTTCAAGATATTGACCCGTTTTTAAAATAGGGTCGGATTTGGGTTTACTCGAAAACCCAAAATAAACTCGAAACTGACCCGGACCCCAGCCCAACCCGCCCCCTCATGATTTTGTGCCCCTACCCCTCGTGCAACCACTGTCATCCCGCCCCCCTCGCACCCGCGCGACCCTACTCCCCCGTGCTCCCTTTGCGCCCAGGTCAGCGTGTCGGGGCAGGTCGGGTTCGGGTTCAAATTTTTGACCCGTTTCCATAATTGGGTTGGGTTAAATAGTGACGGGTCATTTTCAGGTTGGACCCGAACCCGACCCGACAACTCATTTTTGATCACTTACATTTAACTTACAGGACAAGTCTTCTACCGTTTTATTGAGACCCTTAAATTGATCCAATGGGACTACTTAAGTGACATGATATGCAATAAAATAAAATAAAAATACGTTAATATTTTTAATTTAAATGTGTTAAATGAAAGTGAAAAAAATGTATGCTGAAAAACATTCTTAGCCTTCTTGCAATGCCACAAAATCAACTAAATATGATCTTTCTAATAAATTAAATGAACAAAAAAATTAATTTCAAGATTTTATGATTTTAAAACACAATTCTGCAATTTTGCATAAAAAAAATCGTTTTGTAGTGGAATACATCCTCACAATTAGGATATCTCAGCTTTATGTAGGATAGGGGCTAGCCATTGGCTAAGATATATTAGTGGAGTTAACTACTTGAGTGGCATGTATATTTCATAGGAATACAAGGTAACAACTAAATAAATTTTAGCATTCTAGTGAGGAAAATATATCAGAAATTTGAGAAACTAAACATCTAAAGCGTTACCCAATTTTTGGTGATCCAATCACCAATCTTAGATGTTTGTTGATATAGCCAAAAGGGTTTCTGAGGCAATCCTAGAAATTTCTACAACCCTAGATGCTCCTAAATCCTTAAGCTTTGACACAAAATTGATGGGATAGTACATAGTGGATTTTTAAGATGGTTTGGATTTCTTTCCTCTTTTATAATATTTGAAATATGGTTAAATAGTTTTGGAAGGCATGTAAGCCATTGGAGGATAGCTATTGGGGAATTCTAGTAACGGCCAAGAGGTAGTGGGGCAAGAGAATTATCTGTGGAGTAAGGAGGACTAGTATACGACGGGGTTTTTTGCGAGAGCTCTTAGAAACGGAATTAGGTTTTAGGCTCTATTTGAAAGAGGAGGAATGTAGTAGCAAGGTTGAGGGAATTAGGGTTTGGGAGAGGTGAAAATCAAGAGCAAATGATAGTGAGAGGTAGAAAGGCTTCTAGAGTTGGTTGGAGTAGTGGAGAGAGGACAAAGAGTGGCTAGAATTATGGTTTGAAAGAGTGGAACGATAGAATTCCTCACCAAAAAAGTTTCCCTAGGGTTCATCTTCATACATTAAGCCATCCAAGCTTCCACGAAGGAGAAATCACTAATAGAATTATCCATGCAAACCATTCACTAATGCATAATTGAGTCTATTAATATATGTACGTTAAATTCAGATCAACACTAAAATTTTGCTAATCACAAAAAAAAACCTCAAAGGTTAACTGTCAGTCTATGCATGCAATGAAGAGTTAGACAACTCCTTAAAGTGTGGAATTAAGCCTCAACTTGTGAAGCATCCTTGGATTGAAGAGAGAAGGGCGGGCCAAATCTATCCAAGTAGCTTACTTTGAAAATTACATATAATGATAGAATTAGATAATAACAGAATTATAAGACCATGCAAGGTGGTGAGACTTTGTTTATGATCTTGTCAATAGAGTGTGCACCATTTGATGTTGTCCAGCTAGTATGGGCTCGCGAGCCGAGCTTATCGAGCTCACAAGTCGAACTCGAGCTTGAGTTCGAGCTCGTTTAGGAAACGAGCACGAGTTCGAGCTTGAGCTGGCTTGGCTCGTGAGCTCGCGAGCCGGCTCGAATAAATATTAATATTTTTTAAATAATTTTATTTTATTTATTAAATTAAATATTTAAATAATAATAATAATAATAATAATAATAATAATAAATGCCTAAGTTTAACTTAAATGTTAAACATTTCATCTTTTTTTAAAAAAAATTTTGACTAAGTTTTAAAAATTCTGCTTAAGTTTTAAAAATCCCGCCTAAATTTAAAATTCCCCGTCCATGACTCATGAGCCGGCTCGAGTTCGATTACACTGGGACGAGCTCGAGTTCGAGCTCGCTTTCCAACTAACGAGCTGAGCTCGATAAGGCCTAAACTCAACTCAACTCGACTAGTTTACACCCCCTATGTCTAGCATCAGATAAAGCTGCTATGTTGTATTAAGAATGTGCCAAACAAGCACAAACCCAAAGTAAAGGTTAGTAACTAGAAAAAATCCAAGAAACTACTCATAAATTATAAGCAAATCAATTAAGAAAATGATAAAAATAATTTCTTGGAAGCTAGAGGAAATAATCTGGAATCTGAAATTCTTAAGAATAATAAATATTTCTTAAGTAGTTACCATCTGTCCTGCTGGACGTGGATGTAGGGGAGTCTGGTAAAAGCCCACACATGATTGCTTCAGATGTTTTTCGGTACATCTGGAGGCCCTTGTTCTCTGCATTGGTGGATTGCTTTGCACCAAATAGATTTAATCTTGATAAAAGAACCTGTATATATACATTATAATCAGAAAACAACAACTAATGAAGAACAAATAAGATCAATGGGAAAAAAGGTAATGAAGAACAAATTGATATAGTCGATGAATAGTTGGATTTAAGAAATGTATACAGTGCATGAACAGTGGAGAGGGAAAAAATAATGAAAAAATTATTAAAATTAGATATATATATATATATATATAAGAACTTGACAAAGAAATTCTGTCATAAGGAAATAGCAGCATTTCAACTTTTTTTTAATAAAAAAATCATCTAGAGCAGAATAACCTTGCCTTACCAAAGAGTGGAGGGGATTAAGGAATCAGAAGCACAAAGCTATTTTTTCATAATATGCAAAATTTCAAATATGTAGCCTTTGCTCCTATCAAAGAACTATACGATGACCTTAATGCACATTGTTGCGTGCATTACAAATGACACCATCGAACAAAACACTAATATAGAAATTACCTTACATTTTGCCAACAAACAATGATAAAAGCAAAGATAAAGACAATTATTTTCCATCACACCATATGTTAGTCTTTCCTGTCATATTGAAAATGGAACACAGTAGACATTCTTGTGGGATTTTATGTTAAATCTGACCGAGGTAGCTGAACTTCAAATACTCAACCATGGGCACAATTGAAAATTTGGACATAGAACTAACAAAATACAAAAAATCCTCACTAAATGATAATATTAAAAAAAAAAAAAAAAGAAATAACATTGCAACTAATTTGCATTTTTTGACAGCTAAATTTTCTCCTCACATCAATTCCACAGTTCAAATTTCAAAAAAATAACTTAGACGAGCATAGGGCTGCAAACGAACCAAGCCGAGCCGAGCATGTGAGTGTTCATGTTTGAGTTCATTTATTATCACTTATCAGCATGTTCAAGTTTGGTTCGTGTTTAATTCGAGCTTTATTGTTTGTGTTCATGTTTGGTTAGTTTAAATTAATGACTGTTCATGTTCGATTTGCTTAGTGTTTATCGAGTTTTAAACAACTAAGTCTTAATGAGCTATAAAAGAACTATACTTCTAGATGTTCATTAACTTAACAAACAAGCTTTATCAAGCCTCCTAACAAACAATAACATCAAGCATATTCGTGAACATATTTAGTGAATTTTTTTAAACAATCAAATAAGCGAGTCCATGAACATATCTAACGAGTATTCTTGAGCTATCAAATGAGCAAGTTCATGAACATATACAACTAGTTTTTTCAAGCTACCAAATGAGCTTGTCACGAATAAACGATCTATGATTCATCTTATATTTGATTAGCATATAATATAATATTTAATTACTTTAAATTTTATTTTTAATATTAATTATATAGTTATAATAAATATAAAATATTTATATTATGTATATTTATCAATTTTATAATCAAATATTAATTGAGTTTTTATCGAGCTTATTCACGAATTCTGAATCGAACACAATTCAAGCTTCTTATTGAGCTTAATGTCGAGCTTGTTCACGAGCTTCAAATGATGTTGTTCATGAACATAAATGAGCCGAACACATTAGTGTTCAAGCTTGCTTATTTATGGATCGAGTATTTAAAATATTGTTCATGTTTGTTTGTTTAGTTAATTAAACGATCACAAACAAGCTTTAACTGAACCGAGCAATGAGTAGTGTCAAATATATGGTTCGCTTGCATCCCTAAACGAGCATAGAGAAAAATATCTAGCTTTATAATGAGGACTGAAGTAAACAGAAGCACATTATTACAGAGCCCTAAACCTACTTGGGTGAATATATATACAGAAAATGCACCCCTTAAAGGTTTGTTTAGGAAAAGCAAAACATGAATACCTGTGTTCCTGAACGCTTGTCATCCCAACTAAACCATGTAGGCCTTCCCCAGTCAGCATAAGATTGTCCATTTTGTACAGTTACATAACTCAGGTAAAATTGATCCCCAGTGGCATGATAGAGCCAGCTAGCAGCCCACAAAAGCTCGTCCCCAAAACCAGTAGAGTTATAAAACTTTTCGAGTTTTGGAAAGCTAGATGTGTATGATACTTTGTGATCATCAGCAAAAGTAAACAGCTTTTGAGCATGCTGAAGAAGCAAATCAGAGTATGATGAATTTATGCTTTTAAAGACCAAGGAAGCAGCAGCCATAGCTGCTGCTGTTTCTGCAGCCACCTCTGTTCCTGGATTTTTCTTGTTAATCTGTAAAAGAGGCCTTTTCTCTGTCATTTCTTCTGGTCTCTGCCAGCATTGGTGGTCAAGATCAGGATCTCCAACCTACCATGCATAATACTAAAAATCAAAATCAATATGAAGAATACACACAGTTAGCTTTAAAAAGATTACCAGGTCAATAAATTGATACACGAAAAGAAATTGTTAAATTATAATATGTTCTTCAAAAATTCCTTAAGACGTGGATAATCCTTACGATAAAACCATCCAACTAGGTCCTTCACACTTATAATGATTAGTAAATTAAGTCCCTACATCATGATTCCATTGTAAGAGTAAAAACCTTCTATCCTATAACAAAGCTAACATTAACTCTCCTCAAACTACCTTTTTATAGTGAGAGAAAAATAGATAGAGAATGTGTGTGAGAAACTGACAGAGAGAAAGAAGAGGTCAGTCAAACCAAATTCAACTCCACCAAAATAAAGAAGGATTAAAGCTTTTTTCTTTTGTGTGGATGCGTGTGTAAAGTAAGTATGAGCGGTCTAACTACCCATTAACTTTGAAGAAAACAAGCGCAATTTTATATGAGTAAATATATAGGAATCTAACTAGGAAGCCAATTTTATATGAGCAAATAATACTGTAAATCTAATTACATAAAAATTTCAGCATAGCTTTGGAAGAGGAGAAATTATCACGTGCGAAGTCCGGATGTAGAGCTACGTCCAGACTCCAATCCGTGGTTGATAACTTGTTTTCTGAGTGTTTCTTTTCTGCTTCCATGTGGATTTTTTTATTAACGTGTGACCTGACGACCTGGCCCAACTATTTCATATGGCACTCCTTTTTTTTTTGGAAAAAAACCCACGACTCGTTCACAAAATTTTAGGGTTTTCACGGAATAAAACTTTTCCACGAATCATTCCTAAAAATTTGGAGGGACAGACGAAGAAGATGGAGTCTGCTTTGGAGGACATTCAATTCTCTGATGCAGAGGCTAAGGCTGAAAACTTTTAGATAAGAAGACTGCAGCCAACCATGGAGAGTTTATAGAATAGTGCGGAGATTACAAGGTTGGATGAACAGGAAGTCAATTATTTTATAGAATTGTTGTGTGAAAAATAAAATTTTTAAAAATTATTGTGGGTGTAAGAAAATTTCTACTTAAAAATATGAGAACAGTTTTCTTACAGTCACACTTTAGTAGATTAAGTAATTAAAAAAAATTCTCAAAAGATTTTTTTTTTTTTAAATCAGCAAAAAAGTTGAACTAAACAAGACAACATTTGTTATCTTAAAAAAAACTTATGATAAAGCTGCCTCAAACAAACCCTTAATCTTAAATAATGAAAGAATTTCTGATAAAGCAATTATCAACTAGAAGATCTCACTGAACAATGGCAATGTTATCAGCATATAAAAAAAATCCTACAAGATTTCAGATTTACCTGAATATACAAAACGCTGTCAGAAGGATGAGCATTGATCAAATAATCAGTTATCCACTTGAGAGAATCGAGAGCAGAGTCCAACTGGTTTACTGCACTCATCTGATCTCCATACTCCAGGATAGTCCAAGACATTACTGTTGCTGTAAAAGCCATAGGAAGTCCAAACTTTATGTGATCCCCAGCATCATACATTCCCTTTGATAAATCCAAGCCATCCTCACTCCCATCACTCAAAGCAGAATCCCCTCGCCAACTAATCTTGTTATTCACCAGCTTTCCAGCTAAAATTTCCAAAAAAAAAAAAACATCAAAATACAAGACTTAGTCGTTTTTCCAATTACGCAAAAGACAACTTACATTTTTGCACTTGGAAGAACTGGAGAGCCACGGAGAGAGCATCGGAATATTTCTGCGTTATAGCTCCCGGAGGTCCGGGAACCGGTCCCATATCTGAATGGTGAGCTTTCTTTCGAAGCCCAAGCACGATGGCCGTGACCACCAAAGCAGCGACGACAAGAACAATCAGCCACCTGGTACAGCCCTTCGTGTACTTCCCCGCCCCCATTCTTCACAAACAAGTGCAGAACCTCCAATATTCAGACAAAACCAAAAATGGCACCAATTCAAGCTAAAAAAATGGCACCAATTCAAGCTAAAAAAAATGGCAATGAAGACGGAAAGGGGTTCCTATGTTCGGATCAGTCCCGCATTGGCGATAACAGTAGCTTCCGAGCTCAAAGAAGGCTTCGCCGGAGAAAAGACGAAGGGCCGGAGATCTGGATCTGTTCGCTCTCTTCTTTCCCTCTATCGCCGGCTCGACGCCAACTAATAGGAGAAACCCACGCCATTTGCCACCGACAGAGAGAACGACCGCGGCATTAATTCGGTTGGCTTAAATGGTTTATTTTTTTTTTTTGGGTTTTTTTGTAAGAGTTAGGGCAGCATCGGCTTAAAATTTATTTAATTTATTTTAAAATTAATAAATATAAATTGTCATTTTTAAAATAAATTTTTTATGATTACTATATATATAATTTATATAAAATATAAATTTAAAATTAATTGATATAATTTTTCATATAAAATATTAACTTTTAAATTTTACAATTATGAGTATTAAACTATATTATCATGAGCATTTCAATGAGGAAAAAAATATATTAAAATATTAATAAAAAATAACTTTTAAATCTATTAAGTATACACATTATTCATTCATATATTATATTCAATTTAAAATAAATTTAAGGATTTTAAAAATTCATTATTATAATATTTTCTTCTAATATTTTTTTACGGAGTAGCTCCATTCTCCAGCCGCACACACAAAAGGAGGAGCGCGCAAACAAAAGCTGGCTGGATCAAGGGCGTGCTTCATGTTTGGAGCAACATAGCAGATCAGGAAAGAACCGGTTCGAGAGCGAAGAACAGAACAATATAATTATTAAATAAAAAATGGTGCTTAGTTGCAATAGCTTATTCAAGAGGTGTAAAGGCATATCATTGTATGAGTCTTTTGCTTTTAATATAATTAGTCTTTGATTTTATGTGATTTTTTATTTATCATAAAAAAAAATTTAACAAAACATATTATGATGAATTTTAAAAAAATTTATATTATTTTAAGATTCAATAACTTTGAAGTTTATCTTAATGCAAAATGCAATAAAAAATTCTTGCGTACTTTTTTTCTGATGATATATTCAACAACAACAATCCTTTATCTAACTATATAAGATTAGCTACATGAATTATTTTTTTTCATTGTGTTCTAATAAAAGTCAAATTCAAATTCTTATTTAAATCCAATAAAAAAGAATCATTTATAATATTTTCCAGCAAAATCTTTTTAAGTCTACATATATCTTTCTTAATATATGTCAGATCTGATAAATTTGTTCTCCTTACAAGATCATTAGAAGGCCGACCTTTTATGTGATCAATCTATCTAAGGCGAGTTACTCCAACTTTTTCACATATATACTCATTTCACATTATGCCTCAAAGTGTAAAGCTACCCATATACCTGAGCATCCTCATCCCTGCAACACTTAATTAAATCAAGATGGCTTTAAATTAATAGATTTACTTTGAAATTAATGCAACTGATGTGTTGCTAAAGATCAACTTGATCATGCATGGCTTTCGATGCATATTTGAATAGAAAACTTTCAGAAATAAATTCAAGTTCATTCAAGTTTCGATTTCAACAAATTTATAATCAAATAAAATAGCTTAACGAGATGAACTCATTAACAAAATAAAAATGATCTAATTTGAGTAGCATAAATAAACACAGCTCGAGAACTTCAAACTCAGCTCAAAACTTTAAAAAAACATTATTTGGAAATTGGAAGGTTAAATGATCTCCAAATGTCGCATGCTCAAATCAAGTGTATCTACGAGATGAATCTAATGAGTTTAAGATTGTTGAATTTAGATATCATTAAGGCATATAAAGATTGAATAAACATTTTATGATCAAATGAAACAATGCATAACATTCAAAGGAGATTCCAATATTTGATTATATTTATATAACATATCACACTCAAAATCTATAAATAAGCTTCTCACTCTTTATATGAAAATTATTACCATATGCTTATAAAAATCCTAGAGCTTCATAAAAGTACCATCATTATTAGAGCATTATCGTTGGATCACCACCATCATATTACAATCGCCCAACCTCCATTGTCAAATTACTGTCGTCTATTCTCATATGTAGATCACCACCCCAATCAGACCACCTCCACCCAATCACTATAGTCAAATTATTATTGTCCAATTGCCATCATTCAGCTAATGACAAAAAGCACTCTCTACCACCACAAATCTTCTAAAGTTGCTCTACGAATATATAAAATTTATATTACACTAATCTCAAAATAAATCTAATAATTTTCAAACTTTTTTTTTTTTTTGGAATGGAATTATCTACTCGCTGCCACTTCAAAGGAAGCACTTGACAACATAACTAATCCTTCGGCGTAACCTAACAAGACCACCGACCAGCATCAAATCCACACTTGTTTTGCCCCACTGAAGAGGCGAGGTCATAGTAGAGGAGATTCGAACCCGGAATGAGGGGTTCCCAACTGTACTCGCCCACCAACACCCTAATTTAGATAAATTAACACTATATTCTTTTCACTAATCTTGTAGGTAGCATAGTTCATTTTATATTCTTGCAACCTGAGCCATCCACATCAACTTTTGTGTTATTAATAGATTAACATTAAATTTATAAATAAAATTCTGAGGTACTTCCTTGTGGCTATAAATAAGCCATTTGCATTTATTCATTCAATTAACCAATCACTTCCCCTCCCACCCTCCTGCCTTCCACAAGCTAAAATTGGAGAGATTATTAGGTGCGGAGTGCAGACAGGGAGAACCGTCCGCACACTAGTATAAAATCCAGCTAGGTACCGTTCGGTACCGCTAGGTACCACTAGGTACCGCTTGGTACCCTGTGTCTGTGCAGACGGTGCTCTCCCCGTCTGCACTCCGCACCTAATAATTTTTCCTAAAATTGAGCTTCAACAATACCAATCACAAAGGAAAGCCAGCTCAAAGCATAAATATCCAGACTTTGAAAATAATATAAAAAATAAAAATTAAAAAACTAACATTTCCCCCAAAAAAATGGAAAATAAAAAAATTATTTTAATTTTAACAATTTCCTATCAATTTTAATAATTTCATATCATTTCAATAAAATTTAAAATTAAAGATATGCATTAAAAGCTTAAGACTTTGGACAAAACTTCACTCTGATAAAATTCAACTAAAATTTTATCAATGAGTTCCCAATCAAACTTAGGCCTTGTTTGGAACGGCTTTCTTGCTACTTCATAAAGCAGGATTCTAGTACAAAATTAAAATTTTTATATTAAAAAATTGCTTTAAAAAGCAATAAGAAAGCCATCACAAACAAACCCTTAGACTTCATTTGGGAAAGCTTTCTTTCTATTTACTAAAGCAGCTTTTCAGCATAAAAATTTTTAGTTCAATAATTTTTATACTAAAAAACTGTTTTAAAAAACAACAAGAAAGTCGTCCCAAACAAAGCCTTAATATGTACCGTAACTTAAAACCCCAACTAGAAAAAAAAAAAAATCCAAACTTCAAAAAATATCTTGTGAATAACATTTTATGATTAAATAAAACAAAATTGAATCCCAAAACTAACAACACTATTGAAACTAACTCTGAAATGATCTTATGATAATCTTGTACTCATTTATGTTACAATTCAAGCAATCAGAGACCTACTTATTGGCTAACATCACAAGAGGATCAGAATAATGTGCCAATAAAACACTTAATGGCTGCATTAGATGAAAGCTTGCTTTATACCTCCTTATAATTATAAAAGAATATAAAGAACCTATAGAAAAGAAATTATATCATGATATTCTGATATAAAATATACTAATATGTATGCTTTAAAAGTATGGAATTTGTCTTGAGATTAGTACTGCATACGAAGAGTTTGCGGTGCACTAATCTCAAAGCAGATCTAAGTATTTTCAAGCTCATCATAATGCAGTTTGTACCAGGATCTATAATTCAGAATACCAAGCAAGAAGGCCAAGAAATTCATACAGTTCGGTCATGGTGGCTGCTGCCCGGAATGGAAACCTCAGCAGAGCAAACTGGGCAAACCTGCGTGAATTAAATCAGGTTATAGCAGAGAGAACAAATCAGGCTGACAATGGTTTCATTTCTGTTAATTAAAATAATAGATCATTTCTGCATCCTCGTTTTATTATCTGGCAATGGTTTCTTTCGGGATAATTTTTTACTGTTTTTTTAAAAAATAAATTTTTAGCATAAAATTTTTCGAAAATAATGAAAAAACTGTGGCTAAAGCTGTCCCAAACGAAAAATGGACTCCAAAATTTAAGAAACGCGAGCTGAAGAAAAAGCCAATAAACTATAAAAGCAGCATTGGTGATCAAAATAAAGGAAATGTAGTATCTGAAGCTGCAGAATAAATATAGTACACTTAGCATATGCGCTCATAAATAAACTAGAGAAAGAAGGGTTGACAAGGATGGTAAATCAGATAAATAATAATAGTTACGTTTAAATTTATGATAATGTACAGGGCATGGAGTCTTGGAGTTTATCCTCCTCACAAATCATCTTTGTGTTGTAACTTATAAGTTCTTTGTTGATTGTATTTGTCGAACAACTTCACAGTGACACAAGCTCCTCTTTATCAATTCGTATATCTTTAAGGTTTTGTTTGGAACAATTTTTTTATTACTTTTTAAAATAATTTTTTAGTTTTTTAAAATGATTTTTTAGTATAAAAGTTTCTAATTCAAGGATTTTTTTATTAAAAAGTTGTTTTAAAAAAAACAACAAAAAAGTTGTCTGAAATGATGCCCAAGTCCTTTTACTTTTGTTTCTTTGTAGTAGATTTGTAGCCATCCAACATTCTTTGCAGCATCTTTGCAAGCTCAAAAAGTTGGAGTAGCTTCAGTGGCAGATAAGATTAAAGAGAGTCGCCTTCTATGATTTGGTCACATAAAATGGCGGCCTTCCGATGACCCAATTAGGAGAGTTGATATATTAGATTTGTCCTATGTTAAGAAAGGTAGAGATAGACCTAAAAAAACTTGGTTAGAAAATATTAGAAATAACATTTCTTTATTAGATCTAAATAAGAATTTGACTATTAACATGACACAATTGAGAAAGAGGATTCATATAGCTGAACTCACGTAGTGGAATAAAGGCTTGATGTTGTGGTAGTTGTATTAATATGTGGACTTCGAGAATTCGCGTCTAGACAATGCTAAGAGAGTTTTGGTGTTTCAAGTCAAATTTTCAAAAGGCATATTAAGTTGCAAATAAGACATTATTACCCAACGATTTCGCCATCATTTTGTGAAGAATTTAAGATTAATATTTAATTACAAGTTTATCAATGATGAGAAATATTTTTTATTAAAGTTAATTGTTAGAAGCTAAATGTTTAGAATGTATATGCAGCAATTTGATCTTAGGTCATGGGAATGTACCACCCGTAGCTTAAAGTGTGTGGCAAACTCGATCAAAATCCCATAGTTCAATTGCCTCAAGTTATTATAGACCATAGTCTACTTAATGGAGGTGTTCGACATAACCTAATAGAAATGATCCTTGTCGGCGGCCATGAGTTGATTCATCGAAGAAAACCTCATAGATCTCGGGTGAATGTTTCTTTAATGAGATGAACTTAAGTCGACTTTAGCTAATAAAGAGCTTTGAGTCCTATCAAAAGCATCCTATGATTCACAACTTACGGGTTTTTAAGCAATTATTGATTAATGAATTCATTTTGCGGTGAAATCATCCAGTCAAAGGGTCTCGGATATAACTATTTACTTTTAGGGTTATTTTGTGGCAAAACTATTAGTTAACGTCCCTTCGGTGAGCAATCATTCAAGAGAGAATATAGAGATATGCTCAACAAGACTTGGTTCTTTATGAACTGTGATTATTTTTAAATTTATCTCTATTAACAAACAGTTTAAAATGATAGATAAATTTTTTTCTTTAAGTATTAGATGGCAGTTTTCACTTAAAATATTTAAAATTTTGTAATATAAATTTTTATAGTTTTGTCTAAATGTGACCCCAAAATAATTCACATTGGAATTTAAGAGCACTTTGAAAATAAGGTTTTCTCAGATTGATATTTTCTGTCAATGCAATTATCATCGCAGTTCAATTCTTATCAACTCCATTATTTAAGATATGGAGGGTCATATTTAAATTGTAGGACCTACGACCATGCCCTATAAGCAAGACAATTTGTTCGAGGAGCATAATATAAAAATGTGAGTTTGAGTTTGCACTTAAAAGAGAGTTTTTGAATTTTTCAAAATAATTTCTCGTTTTGTAGAAAAGGCTTACATGATTTTCTAAGTGAGAAGAATTCAAATTTCATCTTATTTTTAGTCCACATCGCATTCTCAGACTTTGTGTTTGAGCATTTAGCACATTCATCAGATCATACACAAACAATTTGACTTGGGTACTCTTGCATGTTTTGTTAAGCAGATGAATAATGCACCTACACTCTTCTCAGTGCATTTGCATGATACACTTGCACGCTTTTTAATGCACATGCACATTTCTTACTACATTTGCATGATGTATTTACAAGTTTTATCGAGATAGGTCAGATTCAATTCTAGTTTTAACACATCTCAAACTTTAAACTTCAAAAGTATTAGATTTAACCTATGTTAAGAAGGGTAGAGATATAGATCTAAAAAGACTTGGTTATAAAATATTAGAAATGACTTTTCTTTATTATATCTAAATGAGAATTTGACTCTTATCGGAAACAATGGAGAAAAATGATTCATACAGCCGATCCCATGTAGTGGGATAAAGGCTTGATGTTGTTATTGTAGAATAAAAGCATGCTTCTCAGAGAAGTTCATCATTTCTTGAGGCAGTTGTAGACTTCTCGAGGTTGTTCCTCTTTTGTCAAAGCAATTGCAAGATTCTCAAGGCAGAGACAATTGAGTTTGAAAGTTATGTTATAATGCATGCATGATTTAAAAATATTCATATTTTAATTGTTCGTACGAACATTTATCATTAAAATACATGCGCAAAATTTCATTTTAAAATTTTAAAGACGCTTTAACTTTGCTTGCGTGTATGTGTTGGGAATCCTGTGGCATTTGAAGGCAAGTTAAAATGTTACGCATTTCAAAAAATGTCATGAATTTTGTCTTTATATGTTTGTATATTTGTGTGGTGGGTCCCCGCGAGGAAACTCTTATTTATTTTCGCACTTTAACTTTGTTTAGCCCACAAATCAGAGTCATGTGTGTTCGATTGTAGTTAGAAAATTATGTTCTTGCATGTAGGCAAGTTCCCCAAGTCTCCTACAAGTCTAGTTTAAGTTTCCTGTGTTTAGTTCAATATTCAATATTTTGTTTTTATTGTGATTTTTTTTTTATGACTATGTAATTTTGCATTTATTTTGTTTCAAAATTTTTATTGCATTTATCTCTCAAAAATTACTTTTATTTTGTTATGTTTGGATCCCCTATTAGTGTAAATATCAGTAGCCACCTGTCATTTCCCTTGCATAGGGGCATCATCAAGAGTGTTAGATATTCCAATCACGCTATGATCAATTCCATGTGACACCACGGTCAGCCCTACATAGCGCTGCGCCGGGGGAGGGGGAGGCTTGTAGCCCATCGCACTTAAAAAAGCATGCATAAGTCTTTGTTCGCCTATTTAAATTTGTAATATTTTCTCTTATGTTATACTATGAAAAGTACACACAAAGATTAATTATACACTAATCATTTACAAGTTCCCTTACCATGCTAAGAAAAGCACTTCGAGATTCTGCCCATTAAGCTAAAAACATTGCAATCAGCATTTTGAGAGCTTTTTTAAGGGTCGAGCATTTTATACATGCATGCACAAAACAATATTGTTGATCGTGACAGGAAACAAGGACTTCCAGCAGGATAAAAGACATCAAATTTTTTTTTAATTACTTTTCTCTTATTTTTTGAATTTTTCTTCTTTTTTTTTGCCTTTTTTTCTTTATTCGCAACTTTTTGTTTTCTTTTTTCTTTTGCTTTCTTCTTTTGAAGAGATGGGAGGTAAAGGGAGTACAAAACTGAAAGAGTGAGGTAGAGAAAGAGAGTAAGAGAGAGAGAAGCAGGAGAGACTGTGTAAGGCAGAGAGAGTGAGTTAGAGAGAAATAAGCGAGAGAGACCACAATAGGAGAAAGAGAACAAAAAGAAAGAAAGATAATAAGGTAGAGAGTCTCTCTCTACTTAGAGAGAGAGAGGGTTAGAGTGATATTTTGTTGGTTCTCTCTCTGTCTAGATAGAGAAGAAAGAGAGATGAAAAGAGGTGGAGAGCTATCACTTAGGCAAGGGAGAAGAAGTTGATGATGGCTTGGTGTGGTCATTGTAAACTGGAGGAGAGGATGGTAGCTAGAGTTCCAACGGTTGGATTCAAATTGATCACGGGAGATGCTTCTTTGGTTATTCAACGCTTCGGATACGTCGCATAGTCTCTTTCATGAACAGAAGACATATATTTAAATGACCTTAATCGTGGTCGAGGCATTTTGAACCTGATTCACACTACATCACATTAGTTGGGCATAATTCTCACCGTGTTTGCTCAAATCAATTTCAGGATGCATAATGTGGTCAATATAATAGTATCTTTATAACATGTTAAGGATAAGGCACACTAATGTGTCTATTAATCATCATAAAGTTCAATCAAATAACAATTTGATGTATACATTTTATCCATAAAGAACCACCAACTAACGAGTTATTTTTAGAGGACTTAATGACATCATTTTTACCATAGATTAAAAGGAGTTAAGCACCAAAATATGAAATGAGATACTACGAAATTAAAGTGTATATGTAAAGAAGTTACAGAATCCAAGGGCACCTAATTTTAAGGTTTGCAAGAAATTTCTAAACTTAGAAAAGATTAATCACAAAGGATAACAAAATAAAACCATTATTAATTTACAAAATTTTGCAATTCCAATTTCTCTCATTTACATTCATCAGCATGTTAGGTATTTAGTTGATAGCTAAAACAAGTTTTCAACCATGCAAGTCAAACCTAAAAACTTTCTTCTTTTTGGTTTAAGCATCTTCATAATAACCTAGAAACAAATTAGAAAATAAAACCAAGAATCCCAGAAAACAGGCATATCGAATCCAATCACATGGTATTTTATATTAAACAATATTTATGTATAACAAATAAATTCTGAGGTACCTTATTGATTTGAAGCCATTGGTTTATGCACTCTGTGTGGTACTTATGCTTGCATGAAAGCACAACTAAAGCATCTCCATCTGCATAGTCCAACCGGCAAATGACACATCTGCAAAAGTAAACAAGAGGAAAGTATCAACAACTACTACAACTCTGATTAAGGTGTAGAAAACATTCACTCTTTTCATTCCGAGAAAATGTAGTCATTTTGGAAACAATTCAAACAATTTTTATCTTTTACATAAAATATGTGAATATAACCTATTTATGGGATAAATTATGTCGATCATTATAAACTATACATGCATAGAGGTAAGCTCTTGTCCAACTGATGAGGACATCGTAATGTAGTCATTTTGGAAACAATTCAAACAATTTTTATCTTTTACATAAAATTTGTGAATATAACCTATTTATGGGATAAATTATGTCGATCATTATAAACTATACATGCATAGAACGTTTCACATCACCAACCCATTGGAAAAAACTAATTATTCAATTCATCAGATTGTAATCATCAGTTTAAAATAGAAATCAATTCTATTAATTGTGAGTCTTATTAAAAACAACATAAAAACCAAACTTCATTCAAAATCATTTTGTCAATCCCTTTCTCATGAATAGTCGCAAGTAGTGATGCCTCAATAAACAACAGATATGCTCTTTAAAAACTAAATATGCACTTTTGATGTAAGCAAGCTTTGGGTGTGCTAGCTTCTTAGGTCCTTTTGGTCTTTGGGTTGCTTGTTGCCTCTCGGGTTGGGCCTTGGCTGCTTTGGTTTATAGCTGAATTTTTTGGTGCTACTTGGTTCCAGCTCATTAATGCTTGAGCTGATGTTTTAGCTCATTATTTGGAGGATTAAATGCATTTGAAAACTCTTTCCCGGTTCCCTGTGCTTCCCCTTTGGTTTCTCCCCTTGCTTCTTGTCCTGTGAGCTGTTTGGGTTCCCTGGACAGCCCGTCCAGGTCCCCTGGCTGCTGGCTCCATCTCCTGTGCTTTGCCCCTTCCGGTTTCTCCCCAAGTGCTGGTCTCGTGGCTGCTTTTTCCCTGTTTTCTGTGTGGCCTTTTTGGGAGCTGTTTTGGATTTAATGCAGGCCCCCTTTATGGCTGTTTCTGGACTGTTTTTGGACAGATTTTTGGAACTGATTTAATGGGATTAAATGAAGATAAAAGGACTGTTTGGATGCCCTTTTTCTTCTATATATTGTATATGTTTTGTAAGCAAGAAAGAGAGATATAATGGTATTTTTGGACATGAAAACCTGAGGGTTTTTCTTGGAAAAGCTTGAGAGCTTGTTCAACTTCTTCCTCTCCTTCTTGGGATAACATGCGAGTTACTCCTCTACTTCGTCTAGTCTTCTAACCTCTTTCTTCTCTCTGCAAGTGACCACTCCAATTGTATCCTTCTTCTCAATAGACATAGAATGCAAGTTAAGGTGTTTGTGTTTGTAAGTATCAAAGTTTGTAAGAGTCTTTTATAATATGAAAGTTGTCTCTTGTTCAAGTGTTGTGTAATTGTTTTTTGTCGATATATGGTTGTAAGTGTGAAAGTCCTAGTTTTTACTATGATTTTCTAGGAAGTTAAAATCTTGTAATATGCTTGCAAAAATTGGGGTCTCCCTATATTTTTGCTTGCATCAACTTTAAATCAAAATATATTATTTTCAGCAAGATAAGAAATCTTGATTTGAGTGATACTACTGTAGCAAGTGCAAATTAGTGATAGCTCATGCTGTCTTCTGAAGAAAAGGGGATGTTTAATTCCCACAAAATAGTACTGTTCGGGCCATTTATTTAAAGGTTTTGAAAATGCTTTGATTAATAACAAAATAATTATAACATCTGGTAAATTTTAAACTATAAGGCTCTAATGGTGGAAATAAAAAAAGTAGTCCCAACCTCTATATATATATATATATATATCCCCCCTCTATATATATATATATATATATATATATATATATATGAGCAAATGACTTTAAGCTATATTGTTCCTAGAAAGTTCAAGTATATTTTTCTTAAAGCACTGGACCCTTTCTTCCTGTATATTTTTCTATCCACGAGTGAACTTTGAGAAGGGAGGGTCGAGTAAAGTCCAAGCTAAACTGATGCCCTAAAACTCACCTGCTTACATTTCTTAGAAAAATCAAGCCACCCTAAGCCAGACCTAGTTTTAAGTTTTAAGTTTTTAACTAAAGTTTCAAATAAAAAAAGTAACAACATTGCCCAGCCAACAAGATCACTCTACCCTTTTGGAAACACAAAAGGGACAGAAAACAAATGATTGAGTTGTCGCTTCAACATCATCCAAAAAATTCATTAGTGTCACTTTTTGGAGCCTAAATAGTAGTTGCTTAAATCAAACTTATTATCACACCTAGTGTTGACCTCGATTTTGCCTAGACCCGGGCCTGAAGAGTTTGACTTGGTCGAATTGACCAAGCCAGACCCCAAGACCCTCTCCAATGGGTTCAGTGAGTCGAGTTGAGTCTGTTGAGCCCTGACTTGGATCCTGGGTCAACCCAGTTGACCAAGTCAACCAGGGTTGACCAATCTGGACCCTTTGAGCCTAAAATCAATTCTAAATTAATTTTATAAATTTCATGGCTCAAACCCCACACCTATTGGACCTAATTGGCTAGGTAGACCAAGTCAACCATTGACTTGGTCAACCCAAGTCATAATAGGTCAATTATGACCTATTAAGGCCCAATAATGGCCTATTTAATGCCCTATTCAATTCCTTGAATTTCAAATAGCAAACCACGGCCAATTCCCTCAAAATTCCCTCCTAATTCGACCTTGATGAGATCTGGACCTTTAGCCTAGAGCTTAGAGATTTAAATAGGAGAAAATTAGGGTGGAAGAGGACCTTTTTGCTTTTGCTTTCTCCAGAGACCGTTTCAGGCCCTGAGACTTTGTGAGAAGACCCCCACACCCCTTCCTCACCTTCCTTGACCGAATCCCGACGACCCCAAGCCGCCGGCGACGTCAACTCCGACGAACCGAGGCCAAGGGACGTCCAGAGCTTCTTCCATCCGATCAAGGCCTTTTTGGAGCTCGACCTCAAGAGGAAGATTGTTCGTGAGGAGTCTACGAGTCCAACGAACCCAAGATCTCCCGAATCCACCGTGTGGATTGAGGTATATCTCTAACCCTAGTTAGAACACTTAGGGTTAATTAGCGTCGTCGTCAGTATGTATTAATTCAAAATAAAACTTCCCCATTGTTTCTCTTCATGCCTAGAACCTAGATCTAAAATTTCATGCGATTTGGTCCAGTCGTTTGGGAGAACGAAGCAAAATATTGCTTTGGCTCTCGGTTTCGCCCCAGATCCGAGCCGGACCGTTGATTTCTTGATCAACGGTCGCGATCTGAGGATCCCGCGGTCTCGTCTGACCGCGTGGTTCGATCCCGCGGTTCCGCAGACGGTCTGGCGTGATCCCGACCGTCGATCTCGACCGCGGAGGATCGGACGGCTGTGATCCTCCGTCCGACGTGGTTAAGTGACGTCCCGTCACTTGACCGCCGCCGCAATCATCGGACAATGATTGGCGGCGGCGCCAATCATTGCCCATGATTGGCGCGCCGTCT